TCACGGTGGGTTATGTTCCGGGGAAGACTGATTTCAGTACAACAGTAACAACACCCCCAAAGATACTGCAAAGATTAGGCAGCAGATATCGTACGTCTTTTTTTACACGGTCGAAAGTTGAACTGGATATGGATACTGCAAAGATTAGGCAGCAGATATCGTACGGCTTTTTTTACACGACAAATTGACAAAAAATGATTTAAAAATTCGAAACAACAGGCTTCATTGATACACGTCAAAGCCGTGGTGGCAAAATCAAAAGATTATCAAAGATTTCAATTTTACCTTTATTGAAGTTTTTTTTTTTTAAATTATATATATGCTTTTATTTCCTAGTGTGACGATCACCAGCTAAAAATAGTAAAAACAAATCAGAGACCACGCAACAGGTAAAAATAGCCGTGTGGCCCCGCATCAGAATTACAGGTTAAAAATCCCTGTGCTCAACAATGGCATGTGCGTGTCCCAAGGCCCCCCATCAGAAGCCCCCAGGTGCGTGTGGAATACCCACTTTAGCAAAGGGAGAAGAGTACGAGTCGTACAAGTCTGCACTGCACTGTAACTTCCGGCATTCAATTCAATTCACTGAGCAGTGAGCATGTTGTCGCCGAAACCGTCGGCCGAAAATCCCTGCGCTCGTACGTGCCACCAGGCACCCCACGCCCTCCCTGCCCTTGCATGCCTCCAAGCCCCCCATGCCCCCCATCAGAAGTGCAGGTGTGTGTGGAATACCTCTTTCGCGAATGGAGCGTCTGCAGTGCACTGTAAGCTTCCGGCACTCAATTCAATTCACTGAGCAGAGGGCACCAGCATATTATTACAAACAAACTGTTGTTTTTCAAACGGACCCGATTTAGAAGAAAAGGGTAGGGAACAACGTCACCGGAGTGGCCTAGGACCGTTTGCCGGCCGGGTTAAAAAGGGTAAAAAAAAAAAAAAAAAAAAAAAAAACACAATTTTTTTTTTCATTTGCTATTTTTACAATTGTGCAAAGAATTCCGATGCGACTCTTGAGGCAAAGGTTGTTCAGTTTATTTTTCTGCACAACATTGTTTTTTCCGGATTCTCCCCGCCCTTCCCCGACCGGCGACCAGTCAGCCCGAGCAACCAAGGTGATCCGGGCTGCCGGGTCGGCAACGCAGGTCCTAAAAAAAGGGAAAAAAAATGAGACAAAGAAATAGGGTCCTTAGCGAATGCCTCCATTTTATAAATGGAGTCCTTACGACTCCTTAGCAAATGTCCCCACTTTTTAATGGGGTTGAACCATTAAATGGAGTCCTTATTCACTGAGCACCTACTTCAAAATGAAGACATTCTACCGTCTTCACCCGAATATTATTTGGTCACTATTGCTGTTCTAGAGTCAAAGTTGCCCCAAATACAGCTATAATGACCGTACGCTGTATTCGGGTGAAGATGGCAGCCGACAAATTTTGGACTTAGCAGCACAGGTCGAGGCCGCCAGTCGACGGCGGCCCATCCTTGTAGAAATTTTGTTTATTACCTACTCAAAAAATTATGCGTCTCGGAGCCACTGGGAGAGAGAGTCCACTGCTAGCTGTTCACAAAAGCCTGGCGCGCAATGCAGACCCTCTCAGCCTGGCGTGCAATGCAGACCCTCTCAGCCTGGCGCGCAATGCAGACCCTCTCAGCCTGGCGCGCAATGCAGAGACCCTCTCAGCCTGGCTGTACTGGTGAGGTTTAAGGACCCAATTATTATAATAATTGGACCCAACAATTACAAATTCTCGCAACCTTCAAGTTCAGCTCCACATAATTGGAGCCCACCCTGTAATTGGGTCATGGCAGTAGATGGCCCCTGGTGAACGGGAGCTGTGGCTGACAACCAAATTATTTGCTTAAAAAAAAAAAAAAAAAAAAAAAAAAAAAAGACACCCTGATTCATTGCCACCTGTGGATGTGTTCCTATGTTCTTGGCGAAACCAGGTGTCAGTGTAGGTTCCACCAGGGCACAGCTGGCATGTAAATTACGCAATCCTGACATACCCAGGTAGCGACAATAAACTATAAATGGACTATATAGGGGGTTCTTTAGAGTGTGGACATGAGTCATCACAGGACAGACGTGCACTTTTGTCTAGCCACAAAGGGATCAGCTGAAACTGGCAAGCACGTGACAGCTTGTGGTTAAAGTAAATAAGACGTTAACCAATTGACGAATGCACATGGAGAGAGCAGAGTCCGCCAAGCGGCAAGACCATATTGCAAAGAAAAGAGAGGGGAAGTTGTTAGGAGGGAGGGGGA